GCATTCATGTCCCTGTTATATTATTTTTGGATTCAAGTAAATTAAAATACGAAATAAGCTATTCACCATGTTGAATTCTGATGTATTAATGTCCGTATTATATTATTTTTGGATTCAAATGGATTCTAAAAATCAGTAGCACTAATTTGGAAATGTCGAAATAAATTCATTTCTATCAATTTCAATTCATTTTCGTTTGCTGGGTAAGGCGTAGTACAGATTTATACTTTTGATAAAACGAAAATTTTGGACGATTTTTTCGATTTTTTTTTTTCATGAATAAAGCTTTACCATTGATCTAAGGCGTATTATATTGTGTTTGCTTGTGTTGCTCGTATTGCAGCTGATGTTTTTTCGAAAACGGTGAGGCAATATAAAATGGAAAGCGAATAGATTGTATCGATCGCGGAAAGAGGATAAAATCTTACTGTGGAAGTACAAAATTGGAAGAGTAGAAAAGGACTAGGAGTAGTTAAAAAACTTAGAGCTTAGAACTTGTGAAATGTCCACCGTATGTTCGCAACATTATTCATTAATATTGACGTTCCGTTTTAGCAGGTACCTTTTTTGATAATTAAAATCTTTTATACTCCTTATAGTCTTTTATATTTTTACATGAATTTAGGATTTCAACAACTAATCTGAATAAAATATACATATATGAGAGAGGAGTAAAATTGGTATATAAGTTAATTTATGAAAATATATTGCATTCTTGTATGATACAAAATACACGAAATGGTATTTGTAATCAGGATTTAAAGTTCGAATATTTGGCAAGAATACAATGCTATTTAAGCTGTAGCTAAATTTTTAACTAAGTTTTAATAATCTTTTATAAGAAAGTATTTACGAATTAGTTGAAACTTTTCCACTTATAATTGAAATTACAATGAATTACAAATTTCTTATTGGATCCCTTCTATTTGTTATATTGTAGATAAAGCGAAATATATATATTTTGCTCACTAATTATAACGTTTCTGTTATAATATAGAGATAATTTTTGTTTTAAGTCAATTATATTGAAATATGATCATTTTACATTTTTTAAATACAGAATATAGGAATAATGGAGAATATTAAATTTTAGTTTTTAACTAAAAAAAATTCGTATAAGTAAACTTGGAATAATTTTTAATACGAATAAAGAAATACAAACGAACATCAAAACTTTAAATATTGAAGGTTAAACGGATCGGGAAGCCCCAGAAATATATAAGTGCTTGAGAAATGATTAAAGATATCGCGTCAATGATTCGCTGTTTGTAAATACAAGTTCGTTGACTAGATGATGTAAAGCTTTGTAATAATACACATGTAACGTGTCTGGTTTCTTTTTAAGGGTCTGGTTAAGCTCGCCCCTTAGGCCTTTGATAACGAAAAACGCGCTGTGTGTGTACAGGTCCCATAATCACTGGATATCCAATAACCGCAGTTTCTTTTGGCTCACTTGGAGATTTTTCCTTCGCGAAAGTCGAGGAAAATCGTATCTTATTGCACCCGCTCGCGGTCTTTAATATTGGATATATTTCAAACTTCAAATAAAAATTCTATTAAAGTCTAGTCTTGAGAAAACTGAGCGAAGAATATGTTACTTTTCTATCCTGAAGTTCGATCCGCTCTAGGACTTCTTCCTTCAATAGTTAATCGCCTTAATAGTTAATACAAAATCTGTAGACTCGATATTTTCATCGACAGGAAAAATCGGTTCCAAAGTGGCCAAGAGGAATTCGTGAGAAAAATCTGAGAAAAACAACCGACGGTTGTGGTATACCCTGTATGTTATGTAATTTGACGTGTAGATACGTGCATATGTGTGTAATGTAGAATAAAATGCGCCCCGTGTTGTGCTGCATAACATAGAGTCTCAAACGTTGTGCCGGAAGGATCGTCGGGGCGCTTACATAGCATGAGAATGAGTAAATCGAAGATAAAAGACTTGAGAAAGACGTATGCACGGCTGTATAACGACTATAATATATATATAATTAGAAAAGCGAAAAATGGATCAGCGATATTACCCTCTCTCTCTCATTCTCGCTCACGTTCTTTCACACTTTTTTTCTCTCTCTCTCTCTCTCTCTCTCTCTCTTTCTCTCTCGCGAACCGGCCACGAATCGATAAAATTGCGACTAGAAATAAATATATTTATACGCACTATTCACCTCCTCGAGCGAGTGCATTTTTCACAACGAGCTTGCAACTGTGACTGCGGTCGCCGAGACGACATTTCGTCGCGGAGAAATTCGCTCCATACTATAAATCTATTAATTAACATTATCCCACACACGAGTCGCGTAGAACTATACGTTACACAATGTATTCCAGAATTACGAATGTGTCTTTTTGACAATAATTTCTTCCATCAATGCATAAAATCAATTTTTCCTGAAAGTATCCCGTGAGATCATTACTTGTCATATTTTTTCAATTTTTATACATTATTTATTTAATTTTTAAACATTATATACTTTTCACAATTAAACTTTAAATGAAGGTTTTTATGAAATCTATTTGAGTTGAAATTTGGCTTACACAATATTTCATTTTTAATTATTAGTTATTCGATAATTATATATGATTTGTCGATTTTATCGAGGAAAAATTTATTCCAAATTGATTGAGGAAATCGTAACAAAGAAAACATTTGGGACAATCTGTATGTTTGCATTGTTGCGAGATATTCATAATTTTGGAGACTATAAATTGCGATACTTCTATTTATGTATATACTGTAGTTAATTTTTTTTATTTCTATATTTTTGGATATGCAATTATATGTTGTATATTGTGATTGAATATTTTTAAAAATTTTATAATAAAATTGGATCACAGTCGCATTATAATCGTGTATCCGTCGACAAAATGTGTTATAAGTTTAACATCTCAAAATGATCTTTGCAATTATTATTCGAATAATTGACGATCTTGTCTAAATAAACAATAAAAATAAATATTCTGGGTTTCTGACATAACAATTATAACGTATTATTTCCTAAATAGATAATTATTAAATCTTACGTGCATAAAAAAATAATTACATATAAGATAGAAATATGAAGTATGTAATAGCAGTAATTACATCGTAATAGAAAATTCATAATAGAAAAATTGTAGTAGAAAATCTTTTCAAACTGCCTTAAATTTACATCTTTACAAAACGGAATACTATACAGATGCTTTTAACCAACATTTGTGACATTCTCCATTTTTTAATATGTAAATGTAAGATAGTTTGCAAATAAACTCTTAGATTGCTAAATAGAATTATGATATTAAAAACTGCTGATATTTTACGACGTATTATAATGCGACCGGATCTCTAATTGTTTCATATCATCTCTATCATGGATTCGTCAATTTTTCAGATTGCACAATTAAACGGCGAAAATTTTAACATAAGAACGAAATGAATGCGCACTGAACAGAAGGCGTCACGGCAACAACGATTGCATAACCGCGTTGAAAAGGCATGTTAAAGTCGATATTCGTTATAACAGCAGCAGTACATCGAACTTGTTTCTCCGCGCGATAAGAAAATTGTCGCATACAGATTTGCATATCTTTTAACGTTATCTAACCGCGTGTTTCAGCAAGTGCGAAATGTCGTTGTAGAAATACACGCGCCGCGCGATCTAGATAATTTCCGGTTGAAAAGGCAACCGGCTTTTATCTCAACAACGATTCCCCCCCCCCTCCCCCCACACAGAAATGCCGTCATAAAATAATCACGCGCTCTCCATCACTTTTCTCTTTCTATCTTGTCTAATGACAGGTAAAAACTGTGCGTTGGAATGAAAACTTAAATAACGTCAGACGCTTTAGAAGGGGACCATCGCACGCAACATACGTAAGCACGCCCGACACGGTTTTGCAAAACCGCATGCGCGAATATATTGAGTTTAACGCGGAAGTTCCACCGTGTACTTCTTATCAATTCTAAATAAGCCCTTCAGCATCTCTATAAAATTATTATTACTTACAAACGCTACAACGCAATTCCTTCATTTCAATTGTTTTAGTGGACATTTCATGGAGTCCCCGCAAATAATTTAAAAAAGCTACGCCGTCTCGAGCTATCTGTAAGAAAAGCGCGATAGAGTTTACGTTCGAATTAATTTGAAATAATTCTTTCGCGATGTCCAGTTACGTGTAATTTCTGCGGGAACTCTAGGATGATCGTATCCTGAAAAATATTTTTCACTGGCTCTTACATATCTCCCTACCCCTCACAATAATTTCTAATTGCTAACTAACGACACCGATGGACGAAACGATTGACGAGTGTTCCCCTAGGGGAAATGTCATCGCATTTTGTTTAAATACCTATCTTCAATAATTTATCAATTTATTACTTCTAAAAACACACGTTCCTTGCCCTCCTTGATATGCTCGAAACGCGGCTCTCACTTTTAACATAGAATACTTTCTTGTGCTTCCTTTTCTTTCTCTCTCTCTCTCTCTCTCTCTCTCTCTCTCTCTCTCTTTCTCTTTCTGTTACTTAAGAGATTATCTTAAAGAAGTTACCGCATTTTCTTTATCTGAATCATATGATCAGGAAAGAAGTTACTCTTTATTCGATTTATTATTGAATTTGAAGAAAACTAGGTTCTTCTTGGCTGTTTAAATCCATCATTTCTGCCCTTTTGCATATTTAAATTGTTTAATTCATAAATCTTTCAAATGCCTGTATATTCACTTTTATATACTTCTTTATATGTTTCTAAATTTACACATTTTGAATTTTTGTATCTTATACACTCGGTTATATGAACATCGTAATTATACATAATTATTTGCATTTTGATAGAAATGATCATAATATGAAAAAAAAAACAATGCGCAAGAAATCGAAATGTTATGCAAACTTCTTCACTGATCATGCTTATATATTTGCCACATATCATCGGTAACATCAGTAATCCGGGCAATCCAAATTGGAAGCGTTTACTATCGTGCGTTTATATTAAAAGAAATTAAATTCAATATAGCTCCACTCTAAATTTACTTTCGATTTATTCAATGGATGAAAACTATAAATTTAAAAAAAACTGTTAATGATCACATTTCTTTTAAAAAAATAAGTATAGCAATAAAATCTCCGAGCTACTGCGGAAAAAAAACGACATGATCATATAATTCATTGTATAATTAATTGTAATGGCAATGGCAATTCGTCATTTTAATATACAATATGTGTTATATACATTTTTAATGTATTGACATTATATACCCATAATTCTATAACGCGATTTATATTCCGTATAATCGTATAATATTTCATGATATATATATTCCACCATATAATTGTGCCTTTTTATACTTTTATTGTTTTTTATACTCTCTTTCAATGTGATGCGTCAAGACATATCACATGATCATCAATCGTTTGTTTATACCGCAGTGCATAATACTTCATCCTACGCGATAAAATCCCTCTTGTTCTCATTATTACGTAACAAATGTATCACATACGCTCAAAATAAATTCAATCTTGTTATTCAATTATTCTTTTTCGGCGTTAATATTTTTCATAATTGCTACATTTTCACTTCTCTCTCTCTCTCTCTCTCTCTCTCTCTCTCTCTGTCTTTCTCTCCTTCGAGGCATCAGGCACACCATGTGCGATACCTTCACTAACGACTGACCGTTAGATTCGAGACGACTCTCACGACCGAGGGAGGGTACAAAATAAACTAATATTCAGTCTATGTCGATCACATCCGTATTTTCCGCTGATCCCTTTCGCTGTCGCAATTTCCGGCGCAGCAGGACCGATTTAAGGATACTGGACGACCTTGGACCCGCGACATCCGGCCGCGGGAAATTCTGCTACGCCGCCTTGTGCCTCTTTCTCTGCTCTCTTCTCGTCACGTTCGAACCGGGACTGCCCGAGCTACCGCCTCTCTCGCAATCCGCCGTCGGCACGGGTTTTAGTTCTCTGTAAAAGTATACGGATTAAAGGATCCCTTCATACTCGCAAATTTGAAAGCGTAAAACGACGCAAAGGTGATATGAAATTTCACAAACATTAAGAAAAATCGCTCTATACTAGTATATTCATTATATTCTAAATATATGTTTACATTCTTTCCTCTTTCTTAAGAAGTAGCATTATATAAAAATTGCTTGGCTCTTTCGGGATCTGCAATCATTCAGAATGTTTAGGATAAAATTTACTGCAGATTCAATTAATTTAATGTTTAGATATATAAATATTGCATACCTGATTGCATATTTACATTTGTAATTTGTATTTTTAACGTACAATTTGTTCATATAAAAATACAACGATCTTTCTTTGCGATTCTTTATACTGAATTTACTACTGTATTATATTAATATTTTTCAAAAAATTATATTGAGGAACTTTATTCATTTATTTTATATTCTGTAATGTTTATAAAATTCGCTTTCCTAATTACAGTAAAATATAAATACGGAGATCGATGATTTGCGTCTTATTCTTTCCTTTCTGCTTCTCAAAGAGATTTAGTAAAGATATTAAAATATAAAATCATACGGTTCAGTTTAAATTTATGATATATTTAACAATAATCATAAAGTCAAAACCGAGTCAAACCGTATTATTACACTCGAGTTTCCCGAAACATTTTCACAGACGTTTTATATCTATAAGCGAAAAAAGCCGATTAATCTCAACAGGCGATGATACGCGCGCTAATGCGATATGTTATCGTTAATTGCTCACCTATAATTAAGTAACTCTTCGTCGTCAGGCACTCTGGATATAAGATCGAGGAGCTCGTTGTTGGGCACGGAGTGAGGCCTGAGGATTTTCCTAGAGAACTTATTGACTCCCCAGACGAGGATTAAATACCGGACAGGAATAAAATAGAGCACGATCGCCCCGGCGATCGTCAGAAGTATCGCCAGGTAGCTTAAATAGGGGATCGTGAAGTTGAAGAGGTTCTTCACTCTCTCGCAAAGACTCGCTATGTAGCCGATTGAGTTCTGAACTGTTTGCGTCACCTCTTGGATCGCCTGTAAACGCTCCTTCAGACTTTTCTTCTCCTCCTGAAAAATCGTTACGTATTAATAAATGAACTATGCTGAATGTTTTATCAGATTGTTGAAACATCCAAAAAATATGCTAAAATAATTTCTAAACTATCACTTAGATGTTTCTTAATTTTCTTATTTTTAGTTGCTCAGATGTTTAAAAATTACAAAAATTAGTATTAGAAAACAAGACCCAACGATTGTAAAAATAAAATTAAACCCATTAAAAATCAGTATAGAATGCAAAATAAAAAAAAGAGAATAAAAATATAAAAAAATTTTCAATATAATGAAGATCGATCGGAGAAAAATTAATATGACTTTTGAATGGTTACCAAAATGTTGGTTTACAAAATGAATTAGTTAACTTTCTGCATTGCTTGTGAATATCATATATAATATCTGAATATTCTTGTATTTTACCTAATGCAATGCGAATATATCGTTAAATTTGTATAACGTAACTACGCTGTTGCCAGTAATGATAACATCTTTATCCGGGAGCCGCGCTGTTGTGATTCATAGAGCGTAACGAGATGCATAGAGCATCCAATGGCGGCGTTTAATACTGAACACTTTGGCTTATTATTCTAACACAAGGGAAACTAATCCACGTTAATTAATTTGCATAGATCGAAGGTTATAGCGCTAAATTTATTGAATGGAGCACGTACAGTGTATGGTATAAGAATATATGATAAATGAGAATTTGCCGTATATTTATCGTTATTAGAGCTTTTATAAATCCAGCAAGAGTGTTACTTGCATCTCTTTAGCTATTAACGAATCGAAACGCAAAAAGCTTCTGCAGCAGTAAATAATTATAGTATAAAATATGTATGGATATTTTATATATATATTTTATTTAATTTTTTTTTTAACGAAGAATCCCATAATTTGTGATGCGATTAAACTAAGCACTATATACTTTTTGAAGATGTAATGACGCTCACTTTATCTTTGTCATCCTCGTCATCGTCGTCGTCCCCCGGCGTCGGACAATCGTCGGACCCAATATCGGCGTGATCTTGAAACTGCGAAGTTGCGTAAATCAAAGGTGCGCCCGTCACCACTGCGACCTGCCCGCAAATCCAATGATTGAACCCGCTCCTCTCGCCGCTAAGCTGACAGGTAGCAAAGAAATTCGACATGCAGCATTGCCAGTAAAGAAACAAAGCGGAGGTAACTTGCACTTATGCAGGATGGGCCATGTCAGAATAGGCATAGTACATTAGTATAGTACAAAGTATAGTACACAAGAATATATACAAAAATTATAAATATATACAAAAGTACCACATTCTGTTTTATTTAGATATCAAAGAGTGATTTGGAATAGTTGATTATTAATCTTACTGTATCAAACACACCCACAATACATATTGATCCATTTTCACTTAAGTTAACCTTGCAAATTTTGCTTTTAGTACTTTTAAAATTCTAAAAGTTTGTTTTTCTTATTTTTATAACTGTTTATTTTCAAATACATTTTTTTGTGCAATATATGAAAAGGAATGTATTTTTTCAAAAATGTATTAAAAATATATAAACATGTTTATATATTTTTTCAAACTCAAATGCATTAAATATAAAATACAGTAAGATTAAGCATCGTGGACGTGCACAATTTATTTGGTGTTTCAATGATTCATATTTTTATTATAAGAGAAAAAATAAAAATGTTATTATTACACGAGAAAAAATTCTTTTATGAAATTACATCGCAAATATGGGACATTTTACATATGCGAGGTCCTGAAATGAAATCATTAGATAGCATGTAGATATTTGAGAAGGGTATTTCATTCATTAAGGCGATAACATTTAATGTTTTTATTAGATATTTATGGATCAACACGAGAGGCAATAGAGAGCGAAGAATAAAGACTGTAAAATCAAAAGTAGATTTGAATTAAATAGTAGTAAGCGATTAATAGCATAGCAATTAATAATTGGAACGATCCAGAACGACATGCTAGCAGTAAATCAAGTTTTAATCCGTTGAGCAAGAAATCCAAGGCACTGAGGGCTTTAGATTTTGCAGCTTGAAAAATGCGTCGCATATGTAACAAAAGTGCACTCGATATTGGCTTTAAAGGCCAATAATAATGTTTAATTTTTCACATAATGCCGCGATAATCATATCAATTTGAAATGTGGACACGCGAAAGAGTGCCGGATTAAAACTTCAATAAAATCAATAACAATTAAAGTCACGTACCAGATAGTACTTTAGAAGAATCAATAACGCCACGCCCGGTATCATATACGGCTCGAAGTAGTAACATCCAAGAATAAAAATGACCAGAGCGAAGACGCTTCTCATCTTGCTTTCCCATTCCCAGCAGCTCCTAACCGTAGGATAAAGCGAAAAATAGTATCATAAACAGCAGCAGCGAAGAATCTATTTTCGGTTTAATCCAAAGAAATTTATACTTCTAGTCAGAAGTATAAATTTTTGAAATACAAAACTTTTTAAATTAAATTTTTTTCAGTAGGATACTTTTGCTATATTGTCATCTAAATAAAAAAAAGTTTAATTAATTTTATTAATTTTTATTTTAAATTCTTGATTTAGAACGGAAAAAAAATATATTTTTTTTAAGATGACGCGTGACGTCCCAAGTAACAAGATGACGTCAAATGACATTTCAATAACGTCTTATTGACGTTAGAGACGTTATCAAGACATTTTTACACGTTATTAAGATGTCACCTTGTTTTTTGGGCTGTATTGTAATTTTACTAACAAAACGTTAGATACGTTCCATATAATTATGGGGGGGTTTTACATATCATATAATCACACATGACCGAAGAGATAAAAGTTTAGATCTTCAGTAATTCGAATAAAAGTTAAAGTCCCACTCACTGTATGTATTTCCCTATGTCAATGAATATTACGATAATCGCTTTGAGCCTAAGAACGTTTCGCAGAAAGACTTGTCTCTTGAATTTCACTTCCGGCTCCATGTACTTTTTTTCCTTCGGATTAAGCGTTCGAATGCACGCCCTGAATATGTTCCATATGACGGTCATCTCCAAGAGGATCTGTGGACAGTTGCCCTTCGCTCGGCCCCTCAATTTCTTGTCCTTCAACGCGTACCACCGTTTCTCGCCGTTACGAACTTTTAGTAATGGTATCGCTACCTTCCCGAGAAACTCCACCTTGTGATCTCGATCCTCGTCGTATACCGTCACCTCCAGGACGGAATTTATATCCTTTACGTTGCTGTTGAAACAACAAAATTTATTCTCGATTATGCTTGAATAGCACGGTTATTTGATCATATTCTCGCGTTTAATCATGTCGGATTTTATTTACTATATATATAATAATGCGTGCCGATAATTGCATTAAAAATAATTAATATTCCGATTAAGACATAACTTACAAGGTGAAAATTTTCTGCCAATTTGGCGCGAGGGTTTTATATTCCGTTTGCGTTTGTAATCTAGAATTTACGAGCTCCAGAACGCAGAAGGGGTCGCTTTTACCACCGAGATCAGCAGCTGCGAGACCTTGTGCACGGTATACCTGTAAAAAGACGAATTAATTAAAAAATGGATCATAATAAAATTTGTTTGTTTTATTTTACTTCATTAATGTAAAAGTCTTATAAGAAAAAAATGGTCACAAATATTTCTATTAAATTGTAATTAAAAAAAGATACAAATATATTTTTAGAAAAATTGTAAAAAAATTACTTTATAAGATTATTTAATTCAGAAATAATTTTTAACATTAATAAAAATAGATTTATCACCGATTTCATATTTTTAATAAAAACATGAACTTGGTGCTAGAAATCGTACAAAATAAATAGATTTTAGAGATATAAATTTAATTGTACGAGTAGGAATTATTTTCAGTAACACAGCTTTAGCACAGTTCAAATCATATATCTGTTTATCGAAGAACTGATTAAAAAACTGATTAATAAATTCTTTTTTAAGAAGATCTTTTAGATAATTAACGCCTAATGTAAAATCTATTATCAGCCAGCTCAAAAAAAGCACACTCCTTATTCAGCGATCGAATATGCTTTACTAATTCATAGTATTAAAGAGTCATTCCGAAATAAACGTGTCATAATATTGAATAGAAGATTTTCCTTTTTGCTGCAACTCTTACATAACGACTGCATGTCAATATATTATATATAATTTACATGGCAAAAATTAATATTTTGCTATGTACATGAATCTACTTTCATTATCATTATTATGCAGCATATCCATGAATTAAATCGTCAAATTTTGTCAGCATATTTCACTCGTCGGACAAAATTCTGACCACAGACAAACGAATTCGTAATTCGATAAAGACGAGAGTTTCAGATTCATAAATATATTAAGACTTTCCTCCTCGACGTGAGCGGAATAGTCCAAAATTTGGCGACCTATTTCAGGAGCTGTACATTTCCTGTACATTAATTATTACTCTTCTAACTTGAGTGCCATCGTGACGTTCTAAAAAAGTTAACACTCTCAACATTGGCACGTTAACGATTAATGCTAATCGTTTCTAATTCACCTTCACTGTCAAGTGGCCTACGTCACGTATCCTCTGCAGGGTGTTCATGACGGAATACCGTTGGACCGTTTGCGCGTGTTCCACCGGTGTTTCCTCGTGCGCGGCCAAATCGCTGATTGTCTCGCTGGCCGTGGTGCCGCTTATCGTCAAAAGTAAAAAGATACTGCCCGAGCCGTCCTCGAGTTCGCGCCATAGCCGATGCGTGGTCTCTCGCTCGAGGGTCGCCAGATTGATCACCGTCTTGCCCATTAGATCGTCCTGATGACTCCTATCTCTGTCCCAAACCGTCACCTCCAACTCTTGTCCTAGATACGGGTCTTCGTAGAGATGGAGGTCGAACTGCTCCAACCAAATTGGATTCAATGTTTTGTTAACGACTTTCGATTTGTATTTCTCCGTGCCGAGCCTGCAAATTAGGATGCGGGACTCTAGTTTTTATAGTGAAACTTCCACACAATTTAAGTTACTGCAGCAGCTCGAATTGCTAATATCTCGGAGATTTCATTCCATTTAATTTTGCATCGTCATAAAATTGTGACATTAAGAATGGAATGATTTTCATTCTACGTAAGTAAAACGAGCAAATTCAATACTGCAGCATTAATAAATTATAATATCGCCGATATAAATTTATATTTACATTTATATCGACATTATAAATATTTATAAATGCCACATAGGATGAAATGATAAATCGATAAAGAAATTATTAAATCGTTTCGAGAGAAACGTTTATATTAAAATATTTATATCGAAACACGCTTTTAAAAAGAATTTACTAATGCCAATAAAAGTAAACATTATTAAATCGAATAAAAAGGAATGAAATGTATCGGATGAGATATTATAACTTGATCAAACTGATTACTTGAATTTAAAAAATTGTTTAAGAATTTTTATAACAAGCAATTAGTAGAAAAACAATTTGAAACTAACAACAATTGAGATTTTTTGGAAGCAAATTTTAAAGTGATATCTAAACAAAAAAGTTGCAAAATTCGTTGATAACAGAAAGTAATAAGAATGATCAAGTAATCTATTCTATATAGTATTAAAAGTTTTATGTACCGGAACTTCACGTAAGGATCCGACAAACCATCTATGTCCATCGGCAACAAACTCTTCGCCTCGACGAGCACAATTGTCACCACCGAACTCCATATTTGTGATTTCAATCGTCTATTCACGTCCGCCAATCGATTGGTTCTCTGAAAATACTACAACGTGGAAAAATGGGGCACTTAGTAAAATTATCGCTGGAGGGAAACTAATGTTGAATTTTTGTACTATAATATAGCATAATTATTGTAATTGAAAACAATAGTTTTTAATGCGACTACATAGTGTTAAATGTGACGATTGTTTGATTTCTTTTTATTGGTAAAGCTCAAGAAACAATTCGTGAAAAATAATTTTCTATAAATCACTTCTTTAAAAATTTTGTTTTTTATTAAATTTAAATTATTCTTGCGTTTAATGTCTTTAATGTATATCGCCGTAAAAAAATTCCTTTAGTGGCTCTACCCTATGAATATCTTCTATCTTCCCCTTAACGTTGCCCTTTAATCTGTCCAGAAGGTCGTGGCGTTTGATCTCCTTCACTTCCAAAACGCCGGGATCGTTTAAAACGTTTGGATTTTCCTCCACATTCCCCACGTGTGGGAGAACAATTTCTTGCTTGTTCAGCTGTGTAATTAAATTCGCTTGGTCAGACCGATCCGATTTTGCGGAAGCTCGATTTCGTAATTTTCGCCAATGTTCGGTCATCTTGCTCTCGGCTCTCGGCTCGTCGATCTTCGCGGCTCGTCGATCCTCCAGTCTGCTCTCGATCTTCGGCTCCTCGTTCTCTTCCCTGGCCGGTGTAAACTTGAAATCGTATGTAGGTTCCGGCATAACTTCCCGATTGATATTCGCCTCGAAGTTCTCGGATGCCTCATCATCGGGTTGACAATGCGTTAACGTGTAGCTGGAAGACGGTCTGCGATGATCGGCGATCCACGTCTCGATCGGCTGCAGCCACGTATGCTTCTCCACGTTCTCCTCCCAGATACGCTCCACCTGATCCTCCAATATCCTCTCTATCAAATCCACCTTCCGCCCCAGGGAGCTTCTTAATGAACCCTTTGCCTTCCGTTTCTTGATTCCGGACAGGCCCTCGGTCGTGGTTGGTCCTTCGGTCACTCGTGCCTTCCAAACTCCTATCATCGCTCCCTCAAGCCTCGATTTCTCGCTTTCGACAGCACTCGATCCTTCCTCCGTAATTTCGGAAGTTGTCGTCTCGACAAATAGTTCCTCGGCTCGTTTCACCTTCGGGGGCTCTTCAACTGCGAACGCGTGCTGAATCCTCGATTTTTCGCCCACGACGGGGCTCGATTCTCTCGAGGTCTCCTCGCGCCGAATATTCTCGCAAAAATTGTCGTCCGACGCCGAGACGCTGAGAGCGACGCTGCTTACGGCGGCAGCGTTGCTCTCCGCCTCGGCGAAATCCCTCTCGAATTTATGTTTTGATACGGATCGATCCAATTCCGCGATGGAATGACGTCTCTCGCGTTGATCCGCGTCGAGCTGCCGGCATAATCCTGTGGAAGGCACGTTGGTGCCTTCGGATGATTTATCGGTAGACACCACATCTATTTTATTAGACATCATATTCGCGTCGACTTCACACGCCTCGTCGGCGGGGTTCTTCCCCGTGGCCATTGTCTCGGCGGCGACGTCGTTCTTGGACGTGACATTAATTTCCGACGTAACTTCGATCTTGGGTATAGTGTTAAGTTCACTTGCCACATTTAGTTTAGATGAGAGATCTATTTCGGACGGCGGCGGTTCCATTTTGGACGAAGCGACGGTTGCCGCTTCGATCGGATCCTCTCTCTGCATGGTATCAATTTTGCATATATTTTTATCGATCGCTATCTCTCTCGACGTGGCATCGACTTCGGACGGGCTGGGCTCGGATTGAATGTACCATCGATTTCAAATTCGGTACATTCGGTACCTCCCCCGGTCTCCCCCCTGCGCGAATTACCCTTACGAATGAAAAGTGTGCTTTGAACGTTTCGCAGCTTTTGCAAATACGACGTATGAATTGCGATTTGTTGAACAGCGTTTGTGTAACGTGTTATTTTCGTCCGGGCTCTTGTCGCAAATTCCGTAGTTCTCCTCGCTCGCAAAATGACTGCGAATTCGTTCACATCTCCCGTTCGATCGGCTTGCATCTTTCATGGGCTCACGTCCAAACAGACAAAACCGGGTCTCTGTTCTTTGTCTTTCATTTCGCGGATAACGTAACTCGGTATGACATTCTTAATAGGAACGTGAAGCATTAGCTTTTCATGATGCTTTGCATGATAAAAAGTGTCAGTCACGGGATTTCATAATCCAGCGGAAATGTACAAGTTGCCGTTGACGTGCGCGATGACTCCGCATCTTTCGTACCATATGCGCGTTGAGAAGCTCTATAATGTTTTTCTAAATTAATATTTTCTCAATCCAAAATGTCAATTATACTCGATTTTATGTCACTGTATAATGTACACACTTCTTATGACAAGCTCTCGCGAAGAAAGTAATCTCTACAGCAAGCACTCGAGATGGATAATCTGAAGAACCTCCCGCGCTGTGAAGCTCACGCTTTTACACTCGACGCGGCAACACTATATGTCAGCAACTGACACGCGCAAGAAAAGGAAAAAAAAAACGCGAGAGAAAAAGTGTCCGTGAGCATAGATTTACACGCTGATTCACTTGTGTGTCTTGTTTACAAAAATCGTAAAGTACAAATATAAGCACTTCCTCACGATGATCGCTCGTGCTCGATATCGCCCGATTAGCACCGCCGGTGAGTCACGCCGGCGAAAAGTACAGGCGGAGAAATATAAATTTGGTTACGCGTATACACGGCCATCGGAAGTCTCTTATCAGAAACACTGGCGAGCTCGTTACCAACGCACAATGGAATACATTTCCGTGTCGGGTATCAAATTGGCACAGCACTGATAAGCGCGAAGCACTTGTGCCCCGCAAAGTAAGATGGCAAAGATCGTCCGACTACTAAGTCGTTCTTCGTCGGCAACCTGCTGAAGCGTGCCGGCCAGTTGGGCTTTTCCCACTCCATTCTTCGCACCAAGAGAGCGATGTTATGTCGACAAACATTGAGACATTGTGTGTACACGATGCCGTAACCGCGATATTCTGACGCGGGTGTTTCTCAACTCGTGAGAGAAAGCGAGAGAGATACAATGACAAATTTATCCAATAAAGAGGGAGAAAAATTGCTCATCTAATTGCATGGAAATGTCTCGCTATATCTTCCTTCTATTTTAAAAATGATTCTACTCGAGAAAATCAATCTCAAAATTCATTTAATGGATTTTAAGAAATACATTTGTACTGTAATATTAAATGTACTATAATATTAAATTTATTATTTTCAGGAGATGTCTTTTCGTTAATTTTATTTCATATTAAATATATTTATGTATTTCTCTTTTGTATTAAATATATCTTTATATATCTTTATTTCATATGAAATGTCTCTTCATAATTAACTCTCCTAAATAAAATTTCTAAAGCGCAGTTGCATTTAATAAAGTCATTTTTTAATATTAACGTTCCGAATCGTTACTACCGTCTGAGAGATCTTATCTAAAAAAAAATGATTGCTTCGGATTATAGCATCGGATTACGATGGGCTATTAATATGTTCGGTATGATATATGGGAACATATCACACGTAATGTATAGACGGCACATTATATACTGCTTATCAGCCAACTTTATAGATACATAGAGTGTCCGATACGCAGCAAACCATATTGCATCTGACAGTTCTTAGCCGCGCAATCGATATTTCCTTAATGAAAGTATAGAGAGAAATCATCATTTGTGTCGCGAATTATCAAAATCATTCATTCGATTGTATTTGATTTTTCTACGCACAATTTTATTTTACTTTTCATTATTATTAATTTTTCCAGAGAAATTTTCCAAAGGAAAATAAATATATTGTATTTTAGCCGGTACAGAATTAAGTTTTAATGGAGAAAGACTTGAGGAGTTCAAAGTTTTTTAAAGATTAAACTACTTTCTATCTTTATTTATCTATTACTTTATCTATCTATTATTTTTGAGTTAGATGAACAATAATTTGAAGCAAATTCAGATTAAGTTGCACGTAATAATCATATCTTAAGAAATATTCCAAGTATTTATCAAAAGTATCATTGTCATTAGGATTAATGGTAGAACCGGAGCTGCAGCTTCTGCAATTGCAATGTTCAGACGATCTAAGTGCAACGCATCTGCAGGCATAAGCGTGATGTTATTCGGAGAAGATCAGGCCATTACGTAAATTGCCATTAATTCGTAAATAAATTAGATTTAACGCGTAATACCCGAGAGTTCCTCACTTATTCCTCGCGGAATGGCGTTTAATAATAGTTAATACATAAGTGGAGCTAGCGCGCGATAAGGGCCAGGCCTTGCACTCCACTTTCAACGACAAGTCGATACCGTAATACGGACGCGGGCGCGTTACTTCCCTCACAACCCAGTTTCCCATTCTTCATACATACACGCTATAAATATACGCACGGGCACATCCATCTCCTTTACCAAGACCGAGAACGATCGACGCGTCGCGATTACTTATTGTTAGTTTATCACCCTCTGCTTAACCCTTTACGGAGATTTACGGAGCTTTTGTTGATACTTCATCTTTTGTATTTTCAAATATTTCTTGGTATTGTATAGGTATTTGTGGCGATCGTGGCACGAGAGCTGCGCATCGGCTTTTTGTGCTAAAGGACCCAGATTCAAACCCACTCAAAACAGTATATAACTCTAAATCGATTTAAAAGCGATCGCCACCTCTCGAAAGGCAAAGGGAAAAACCACTGAGAGTGTAACTTTGCCCAGAAAAAAAAATCTCTTTTAAAAACGCCGTTCAAAACTGGCGTTAAAACTGCGTAGGTCCCATATATCTACGGATATATGCAGAAGAGATCGTATGGCGTTAGCGCGTATGGTGCGCTGACAAGCGTATGACACGCGAAGAAGAAGTTGCGTTAATGTTACACAATTTCTTCTAGTCTGCGGGCAAGATGTTTTCATTTAGATGATAGAATTGTCAGTTCCGTTTTAAGAGTAGCATATTGATCCTCGTTAATGCTACTTTGTGAATTCAAGCATTTACTTATCAATTTAATAGTTGAAAGCAAAGCTGAACGCGAATCTCCATAAATATTTGTAGTATTAGATGAGCACTTTTTTGTATGTTTTATTACGTATATACATATATACATAGTTGATTAGCTAATCAATTTTTATTTTTTAGATAATAAGTAAATAAAAAAAAGAATAAAACAATCAGAAAGAAAAGATTAAAAATGTTTTAATCCGACCGGATTGAAAAAGATAAAGTACCTGCTCTTTTTCTTGTTGATTTCTCGGCCAAAGTGTAGCTGTCAGGTAGATTTCGCCTAAATGTTGTTTTGGCCTGACCGGATCTTTAAGTTCTAATGTTATATCTTGAGAATGCCCGAGATCGAGTTGCGTAAGGTCCAGCAGAGCAGCCCCCATGAAGTCATCCTGCAGGCCCCAATCGTAATCAAAAACCTGTCAATACATAAGAGATTTTTTTAGTGATCATTAGAATGATTATTGGTAATAGAATATAGACAATTTTGAAATACTTTTTCTATTTTAATAAAATTAATACGAGTTATTTTGCAAACTAATTGAATTTTATTAAACAATTCGAATTATTACAGATTAGATAAAATAAATTAAAAAATTTTAATGAAAATTTCAGTCTTTGAAATAAATTATTGAATATTAACATATATTTAGCGTTTCTGCAGCTTATAATATTTTGATATAATAGAAAACCTACTAAATATATGTATACCTTGATAGTAAGTGGTTGAAAAGGATCTTCTATAGGCAAGGTGACGCTTTCGTCCCAAACTGGGTTTAAATCGCGATGAACGGTTCGCGATTTGTGCAGCAATCGCCCTGAGCATTTTACTTTCACATAAGGATCGCTGGCGCCTGAAATCATAAAGTGAATCGCAAAACCGTAAGCCATACATATCGCAAATTTACGGCTATGCGATAAATATAACGATTCTATATCTTCAAGTAGGCACGAATGTCTCGAGCTATATTTTATTTATTTGGCATAAAAATGATAACATATTTATGTACATAAGTTTTAGACGAATTTATCGATTTTATATTCAAATATTTTTTCATGATATAAAGTATAATGTGTATATACAATAGTGTTTGCTGAGTAATTATGATACGAGTAGCTTCCTTCATGATTCATTTTTTAAGAAATGTAAATATAGATATACAAGTTGAACTTCGATAACACGAACCTCTACAACTCGAAAGCCTCTATAAAAAAATTTTGTTTGTTCCCTCTCTTTCGCTTCACTGCGGAAAAGCTCTATAAATCAAAATAAAACCTATCTTAACTCGGATTATTTGTTAGATACTTAAATGTATTATTTTATCTCTGCAGTTCAAATTTAAAATAGCCAGATCTCTACAAGTTGAAGTTCATCTCTATAAGTTGAACTTCTATTTTCGCTGCTTCTATAATTCAAAGTTGTAGCTATGTGTAACCATGAGTAACAGCCTGGTAGTTGTTTTACGATTACATTTATTATACATATGCAATAAATAATTCACTGTCAAATACTGAATTTTTTCATTTAAAAGTCGTTATAATCGGAAAATTATAAACTCTCCTACAAAGTCTCTCCGTAACTCAAATGTAAGTAGTACTTTCCGTAAGTCGATATTATAATATTTATATAATATTTTCATATTTTAACCCCTTTTACTCGAATTTCGATAAATCGAAAACTGTACGAAAACGAAACTCGAAGAAATTAGCTCTTCCCTTGAAATTCGAGTTATCGATGTTCGACTGTATCTTTTTTCTCCAAACAAAAAATAAAAGTTGAAAGCCTTTTTCTTTCCTCTTACCGCATCTATCCATCGCAACGAGATTTGCGCCTCTTCGTATGTGCAAACGAAGTTGGAAGAAGGCATGTTGTCTCAACGCCTGTTCTCTCTTACGTGTCATCTCGTCTTGTAGAAAATCGCCGTCCTGGCTGAAGGATCCCCGAGGTTCCTCGCCGGTTTGCCCTTCCTTCTGAAAGTTCACGGATCCTTTGGAGAATCCCTCGCCGCATTTTCCGGCGCTGTCCTCTTGCATAGTCACAGTCTTTTCTCGGCTACCGCGTGCCAACGGAGATTCTGCGCATTCAAAATGTGCCGAGATGCACGTGCCGAGATCACTATCGGTGTTGGCACGTCGGTAATGATATTCATACCATGTGATTTACGCTGCATACGTGATTATTGGAAATAGACGCGAAAGAGCTTGATTTTGTCTTATCGAATATCTTCTAAAATTACCTGAGAATTAAATAATATGAGTTGATGGTGAGTTTTTTATTAGTTTATTATACTATAAACTATAATTAGCATCGTTTAACTAATAATAGATATTTTTAAATTGCCCATGTTAAATTTTTAAATGGTTAAAATCAATATTATAGGAAAAATGACACGTCAAATATGTGTGAATTTAAGCGAGATTTTATATTTCATTAGTTTACAATTTTATGTACATACTACGGGCGAATAAAAAAATCAAACTATTGAAGAAGACATTTTCCGAAGTAAAAGTGCAATTGAACGTAATTGCGCAATTATTGCAAATACGATTTTACAATTTTAGAGATATTAAAGGACCATCAGGCATGTACGCTTGCTATTCTAGAACAGGTACAAGAGTCTTTCGGGTTAATCTGTTTAAGTATGACGAGGCACGTCAGCATTCGTGCTGGATCATTTCGGATCAATCGATATAATAAGGTCTAAACGTGCCGCGCATGTCGACTTTTGGCGCTAGGTACAAATTGCACGCTCGATATTCCCATCCGCATGCTTTTCTCAAATGAATCCACGTTAGGTATATCACCAAAAGCGCAATAGTAGCATAGTGATAATCAGCGCTTGTGTACAACTTGAATAAGTAATTATTTACACGTATAAATTACAAACGCAGAATTGATCATTGGTCGTGTTATCTTAGTTAATTAGGAAATAACAAATATTATTCATGCATACGCATGAATATTAAAAATCTGTATTTTCTTAATATACTTTAACGCTATAATGTATTTTTACGCAGATAATTTATGGCCTTTTGAAGTGTGTTGCATTTAAATGTGCAGCATTCGTATTCCGTGAATTTATATTCCCGCCAGGATATTAATTTGCACAACACAACTATGTTCCGCAAGAAGAATCATTGCCGAGTCAAGTGGCTTGCCAATAAACTTAATTAATTTACTTGAAAATGCAGCAACTTCCGAGTAACCGGTTATTCAA